TTTCCAACAATGTCAGACTTCTTGTCCATCACTCATCTTCCAGGACTTCAAAATACGCAGGCTCTAATTGTACCCTTGTGAGTACACACAAAGCATAACTATTAAATAAGGCAAGGTCCTTTGAAATAATAATTGTTTCAAAGGATGTTGTTTACGTGTATATACTTTACCTTGATTCCTGTGTTAGTAGCATCCTTCACAGCTGCAAGTAGGTTATCATATCTTGGGTTGAACGACACAGTGAATGCACAGTCGATTATTCTCCCTGAAAAACAACAAAATTTCATAACTTAAAACTCCTTTAGTCTACAGCCTAGCATAGTTAAATGTCTGTCTTCTCCTCAATGTCTGATATCTGTAATTATCAGTATAAGTTCAGCTAATTTGTTGCTTTATTTTGAGATTATGAAATTAGTTGATGTGCTTCTTTAGTCGTTTGCATTACCTCTTCGCTCTGCATTATCGAGGAAATATATGAATCACCAAAGACTGTGTCTGAGCACGTCTCCAAACAGTGAACAGGAGGTGAAAATACGACACGTAGCGGAGTATTTTTGACGAACTTCGAGGTATTTGGAAATGTGGTTAAACACTGTCTTGAGTGTTTGATATATCTTCTCAATTGAAACTAAAACTAAGGAGAAAACGGAGAAATAAAATCGAAAAAAATCTATGCTAATTAAGATCAGATATCCAAACACCGTCACGGTCATGATTTCCTTTGTTTAAACTTGATGAATTATTAATGAGTTTGAGAAGTATTGGACAAACTTTGAGAAGTATTGGACGCTAGCCACTTAACTCACTCCCAACACATTCAAGGTTGCCATGCGAACAACTAAATCATCAGGGTCTGTTTAAGATGTACTCTCTACATGCCGCTAATAAAGAAACACCTAGTCCACAATGATGACAATATTACAAAAAGATTTTACGATTTTGTAAGTGCATTGTTTTGTATCTTATAAACCAAGTGCATGGATATCAGTATCACGTGACCATATCGCGGGCTCAAGTTTACAACTCCTCAAGGTCACGTTTTTCTTTGAAGTCGACCGCTGACCAAGTGCTGGTTATCGATTGGAGGTTCGCTATAAAGAAATATTGGACTGAGAGGCATTTTGTTAATACTGTAGACTGATTTTAGTTATCAGCCCTCTCAGCTGTCCAAGTCATGCAATAAAACGCAGGTATTTCCTTGTAACTCACCATTCACATGGGTTCCAAAGTCAATTTTGCAAACGTCGTCATATTGTAGAACAGTCTTGTCTCCTGCATTGGGTGTGTAATGAGCAGCACAGTGATTCAGAGAACATCCAGTAGGAAAAGCCAGCCCTACAAAGAACAAGATCAGGAATTAACAACACGGCTTGGTCTTCTTCCAGTGTTTCACAGTCATCTTACTTTTAATTTTGAACTCTTTTGGTCAGTACTTTGGATGAATCGACCCAATAATATAAGCCACTTGAATTAAAATATGTTAACTATAATCTTGCCCAATACATCAAACAAAAGGTAACACACATTTGCAAATGTACTGAGCAACATGAATTATTGCTCTTACCTGCTTTAAGCTTGTTTTCATTGATCAATTTACGAGAAGCTTCCTCCAATTTTTCACTGTTGAAAGGAAAGGAAATTATTTCTCTCCATGGAAGAATATGCTGCTATAGAATACATATGATCCAATGTATGGAGGTTATACAGAGAAAGCAAATAGTCTGTCCAAAATCACTTATTTATCCTATCTTAGAAATAATTTCCAAGTGTCTGAAACGTGTGCAGAGCAGCAAAAAAATATAAAATGTCTGTGGGCTTCTTTGGAATAAAGGACACTTTTTCGTTTCTTCCCTGTCATACATGTAACATTCATGACCTCACTAGCACCAAATTTGAAATAACAGAACTTTTCAAAACATCCAACAGCAGACTAAATTGNAAATAACAAAAAGGAACAAGCAAACACAAATTCCTTCTATCAATTATTTATTGCTCTTTCACCTTGTCCAGCCCCTGACTTGGTTCCTGCTGACTTCTTCTTCTTCTTTTTCTTCTTCTTTCCAGGAGCTGTGACACCATTTTCTCCTTCGGGTGCATCTTCACCGTCTGAAAGTAAAAGAGATTAAATACAGTTCATTAACAAAAATGTCAAAGCCTTCTTGGACCCCAAGGGCACAGCAGGCTGGTCCTATGATAGGCTTGACTTCCACCACTCTCTCGAGTTCGGTCTACGTTATTTTCCAAGAAGAAGAGCATGGGCTCCTTTCTAGAACATCGGCTGATAATCAAGCCTGGTCCTCTGATAACCTTTACCATTCTCATCTCAAGAGGTCATGATCCTTTTAGTCAGCACCAAGAATTGTGACCTTTGGGTGGGTCCAACACCAGAAGTCTGTGATTCCTGGATTTCCCTTCAAATCTGACAAATCTGATTGGCTGAGAAAATCAGTTATAAGAAAATACTCTGTGTATGCTCCGGAAATCAGGTCTAATCACGGGTTGTAATTCTTGTTCCTGCATATTGATTGCAAAGGCTGTGGCCTCTGGGATGAGAGGGAACCATTACTAACTTGCTTTACTCTCCAAAATATAGGAAATAATAGATAAACAAATAAATAATGATAAAAAAAAACTAGTGAGTATTAATAAAGTATTTAATATGTTCACCTGCATCTTCTTGTCGCACACCATTCACTGGTTCTGTTGTAACAGTCTGAGTGGTTGTATCATCTTTCTCTCCATGTCCATTCATTTCCCCATTCAGTACTTCTGTAGTTTGCTCCCCACCTCCTACCAAGATTGAAAACGTAATTTATGTTCTATTACCACATCTAACAAGACTTGGTCCACGTATTTTGTTGGATTACATAGCATTTATTGTCCGATATAGGTGATTCCTCAGAATTACATTGTGCATCCCTACTGCGCAGGATTTTTGCATCAACTCATGCACACTATTCCGTATAAAGGATATCAAGAGAATTCCTTTGAGCTACCTGCGCAAAACAGTTACTTGAGCATGCAAATTATGATCTTGAAAACGATGACTCAAGAAACGTTTTGGGTCAATGATGTTTAAAATTGTGTGAGTGTTCCATAAATTATATATTACATACTTTGTTCTTTATGCTTGAGCCTTTCTACTTATCAAATTTTTTATTAAGTATTTGCTAAAAAAAACTTTGCTTCCATCTACCATAAAATATTATGTGTACCGATGAGGTAATATAATGCACAAGATTTGGAATACAGTATCGCTCCGAACTAGGTGAACATCAAATGTGTGTTCTTAACGCAAAGGGTTAAAAGCGCAGACGTGTTTTGCTGCGTTAGACTGCGTTTGGACTTCGCGTTATAACACATTAAAGTAAACCATTAATATGTATGAGCTTGATTATTGTCCGCTTCTTTTGTTACTACGTGAAAGGAAGTTAACAGTGATTAGTAGGAAACATTCAGAGGAAGTTTCAAAAAAAATTGTTCAACGACTTTTTTTTCTGAGTAATCACCTTAAGCACATGCAAGCCAGTGTAAATTGCATTAAAATTATACTGGCATAAAGTGTACATGTATGTACTTTCAGGCAGGGAGAGAAAAAAGCAGAAGAAATACTTTAAAGAAAACATGGCAAATTAAAATTTTAAAGTAACTTTATTTCAAAAGTGTATTTGAGTACCCCCCTGGCTTTTTTCTGCAATAACTATGAATACATTTGTTCAACCAAATCAAGAGTGATGTTGCAACCATTAACCCTCGACGAAATTGAAATTAGAAAGTGAAAACTCTATTTAAACGTCAGGGTGTTTAAGTTTTGTTATACTTAATATGGCTTAAAATGATTTAAGTTCTTTTCTGAACGCTCACAGTTTAAGATCCCGTCAATAAACACCAGTCACAGTCTTTTGTAAATGGTTATGCAACAGAGTGGCTTGAATATGAGTTTAACCTTATTAAAATCTGCATGTACTTGTTTTCGCAAACTGTAAGCTTCGCTTTACGAGGATTTACAAGACGGACAAAAAGTTTCGATCGTGGCAGAAAACAACGCTGCAAACAGACAGGTAAAAACCGGGATTGAATAATATAGACATGTACAAGCACTTAAGTTTGAACAGATTTAAGCTCACGGACACATGAACTTGCACTGTCATCATATTTATTTGTCAGTTCCTCTAAATGTTTTACCACCAAACTAAACTGACCTTTCTTCTTTTTCTTCTTCTTCTTTTTCTTCTTACTCGAAGAGACTTCATTAGCGTCCACTAAGTCTTCCACCTCGTCATCGCCATCCTCTGGCATCTCATTAGTGCTTTCTTTTTCCAAGCGTGGTTCTTCCGTAAGAACCGCCGCCATCTTGAGTCCGAGAAAAAACTGACAGAGTAGCCAGGCCATGTAACCAGGCTATATTTTGGGAAGCTGCAGAGGAAGCTGGAAACTAAACACCTATGAACTGGGACCCAGTTCTCACTCAAAATCGGTCTGTTTACTTCCATGGTGCGATGGCCTCATTCACTTTGCGAGAACAATCACTGCGTTTGATGAGACTTGTAGGAGCAGCATCGTAAGCATTTTTTTGCGTATTTACGAGTGTTTAAACCTTTAGAGGGTGTTTTCTCCAGCTCTAGGGTTGTTGTCGCCCCAGTTTGATACATCGATCGTTCCCCTGCGAATCCTGGCATGTGACAGTCAGTGCACTTTCGCTGGAGGTGTGTCCCAGTGGGGGATGTGGCACACAGCATGTATTTCAGAACGCTTAGCCTTGACAAAGAACCCTAAAGTTGTGACCAGTTGCGACTGAAACATTTAAATCAATTCATTTGTCAAATAAAAGATTGGAAATCAAAGGCTTGTACTAATGCTGCAGATGTTAGCTTTAAGGTTTTGTTTGTTTGTTTGTTTGTTTGTTTTGATTTGCTTAGCTGAGAATTCGGTGCTATAAAACCTGAATCCGCATCTTATCATATCCTAAGGGGTTGAATCCCCAGGCCAACCAGGAGGATTATGTAAAAATGTATGTATCCAATGCCATAGATTTGCCAATAATTTTCAGAATTCTTCAGCAAGTTAAGAAATGTTCGTGGTACTGAAACACAGCCTTGATTACAAGGGATGTAAATGTCAGTGCCCCACACACGTTTTAACTGCTTGCCCAAGATAATGTGGATCATGTGCACAAAAGGGATCCGTGGTCGAGTGGTGATCAATATACTCTTCATCTATGCCCTCGATCGAAATCTTGATCAATACTTGATCAATATCCTGATTAATAATCAGTTGACACTCTATTGACACTTGATCAACACTCGGTTGATAGTCGGCGGAATGTCGCTCAACTTATGTGAATCGATTGAAAATTTGGTCGACTCTCGACTGAGATGTCAATGGAGTGACGATCAAGTGTCAACTAATGTGTCGATGAAGTGTTGATCAAGTATCGACTGAGGGTTGAGTGAGGGTATCGATTGAGGATATTGATCGTCATTAGACCGCAGATCCCTTTAATACACATGATCTGATAATTTTTGAATAGGCATACACACACATGGGATAACCTATGTAAAATGTTATATTAAATGGCTTCAACAATTGGTTGAAAACTATGTACTAAAACCACAAGATATCTAGATGTCTAGAAATTCCGATTCCTTCTGTGGGGAGAGTATGGATTTTTTTTTTTGGAAACTAATACATTTTGTTTTCTTAATGTTATTTTAAATTAGATGCAGATGTCCAGCTCACTCACAAACCTTCTCACCAGGTGTGCAGAGAAAAATCTTAACCTGCTAGTTTCCTTTCTAGTACTCCAGGGAGAGGGGGGAGGGGGAGACTCACTTATATTGGCCATATACATGTAGGTACAATGTATGTGCAGCACCAAAGGGTGTGGTTTTTTAGCCATTTTGGTAATAAAAGGTATCGATTTTGGCCATTTTGGTCTCAACTTAAAGGGAATGGTTTTTGAACTCTAGTCTTGAATTCAGTATTCCATGGTAATAGATGTCCAACAGTAACAATCAAATGAAAGAATGAAAGATGTGAATGCAGCCATAACACTACTGGAAAAATGGCCTGAAAAAATTTCAGGCAAAGGTCGTGGGTTCGAATCCCATTCAGAGCCTGAAATTTTTTCAGGTCATTTTTCCAGTAATGTTATGGCTGCATTCGCATCTTTCATTCTTTCTTGAATTCAGTATGTGTTTTTTTTTAGAAGAAGCTACTTTTTCATCATTTTTTGCTAAGAACATCAACAGAAGCCTTTCACAAAGTCTTAACATTGGTCTGAACTTAAGATAACTAATTATGAGACAGGTCTGAAACAGGATATTGATTGAAGGGTCCCTGGTCTTAAATAACTGTACAGTTAGGGTATCAACTGAAAGTTTTGGTGAGGTCATAAATAGGGTAGGGAAAATAACAGATAATCCCATCCAGGGGGAGTAGAAATACTCCTAGTCGCTTCATGCTTCTGAAACCTGGATAAGCACCCGCCCGATGAGCCACTTGGCTCATAGGCAGACTTAGCCTTAGCCTTACCTTAACTTAATGTACCAACTAAAGTTCTAAATATTGCTGTTAGAGAATATTGGCCATTTCCGAGTTGCCCCTACTAATACTTCTATTTAAAACGAGTCTTAGTGCATGCCTGTCGTATTGAAATAAGTTTTTCTTGCACATTCATTGTCTTGCAAGTCAAACTCATTTCCATATGAGAGGTTGTGTACCAGAACTGGTTCATTTTGAAACAGACTGTGGTAAAAAGTAACTTGGAAATGGTTTATTGGGTTAGAATTGTACTGTATGGTAGCAGGCAACTACTAAGTAAACATACTTATGAAATGTTAATTTATAGTTGGTGACTTTGCCTCCTGTCAAAGAAGCCATTGAGTCTCTTGAAACCAGCCATGTTAGATATGAACTTTTCGACAGAGTAAGAATCGAGCCAACAGACACCAGGTATTGAAATTAAAAAAAATAATGTATTAATATGTACTTTACAATTATATTTAACAGCTCATTGGCAGTCACTAGCTTTTTTGCATAGTAATATGAAAAATGTTATACAATATACAAGTTTACAGTAATTTTGACACATTTGATCGTGGACTATATCATATGTACTGATGGAAAAGGGGACGGGGATGGGATGGGTAGCCAAGGAGACCAACAACTCCCTTTCACTGAAAATTTAAAATAAATTATACTAAATTGCTAAAGATTTGAAGCATAACATTTTTGTCCACCAAATAAAAGTACCCTGGCTCAGAATACAGAACAATAGAAAACCCAGCATGGGAATAAAAGAACAACATTTTAATGTTATTACAGGTTAAAAGTTGTAGTTAAAGATGTTGTTCTTTCTCAGTTTTAAAGATGCTATTGAGTTTGCCAAGCGAGGTCAGTTTGACTCGTTTCTTGCTGTCGGTGGTGGCTCGGTGATTGACACTGCCAAAGCTGCTAATCTGTACCTCTGTCATCCAGAAAACGACTTCCTGGATTTCGTGAATGCACCTGTCGGGAGAGGATTGCCTATTGACAGAACTTTGAAGCCTCTTATAGCAAGTGAGTGCCTTGTCTTTGAATTATGGATTTCTTCTCTTGGCACTAGCTTCTCAGGGAATACCTTGACTCTGAAGATGACTTACAAATGCTAAGGTTGAAGAAATGGTGGCCACACCCACATGATCACTTTTAAGAACAGACAAAGAGATTAAGACAAATTTTCAAGTTGGATGTCTTTGTCGTTTCTTTGCATGACTAAACTTTCTATGAAAATTAGTTATTATAACCAAATCTATCCCTCAAAATGCTAGAAATACAACAGATGAAAACTTTCAGACATTTTACAAAACAGTCTGCATGTTAATAAGACTTTTTTTTGAGTGAGATACGTCTTTCTTTTTCTTATTTGGACATCACTACTTTATAATAATAAAGTTTGAACTCGTACAATGTTTGTGCAGTCGAAAAACTGATTTTGACATGTGCTTTTCTTGTTCTATCCACAGTTCCAACAACGGCTGGGACAGGTATGCAATATTAACAGTTTTTTGGCCTGGGGGTGAGATTGTTGATACTATTATCACATTTTATGTTATTAAGTATCATGACGACATTCAGTCATGCATCTTAAGAAAGTTCAAAGGTGGAATTCTCTGTTGGTAAGCTGAGAAAATGGTGGCAGGAGGCGCGGTGGCCTCATGATTAGTGGGCCCGTCTCTGTATCGAGCAGTCCAGGTTTGAGCCCTGGCCGGGGACATTACGTTGTGTTCTTGGGTAAGACACTTTACTCTCACAGTGCCTCTCTCTACCCAGGTTTATAAATGGGTACCGGCGAACTTAATGCTGGGGGTAGCCCTGTGTGGAGGTGTCCCATCCAGGGAGGAGTAGAAATACTTCTAGTCGCTTCATGCTACAGAAACCGGGATAAGCTCTGTCCTGGTGGGCCACTTGGCCCGTATGCAGACTTTTT